CTCTGAATACTGACTTAAGAGTTTAAATCCCTTCTGTTGCTCCATCTTCTGAAGATCTTCCATCACCTTGTTGTCAAAAAGAAGAGGATATGAGCGTCACCAACCAAAATATCCGAGGAATCAATCTGAGATGCTGTTGAAAGATAATCTCTCTCCCTCTCCTGTCCTGCCTTCACTCTTTCATTAGTGCTGTGTGGATGACTGGTTCTTCTGACTCCTCAGTTAACAGTGGGTGTCTCCTGCTCCCCTCATATTTGCCATGCACTGGTTAGTAGCATAAATGCTACTGGGGGGAACTGTAAACCTAGAAGACAGCAGGATCTGGAAAGGGAAACCAGCTTGTTCTTCCACTCAGAAAGAACCAAGAAGCATGTCTTCAGAGCAGAACAGTGATATAGACATAGTCGTAACAGCAGCTGGCTGAGCTGAAACTCAAAAGAGAAAGAAGTTGGCAGTACAGCTCTTTATGTGCTGGATTACTGGATTTGCTGTAATTAAATATTTAGCTGTACTGCAGCTCAAGGGCTCAAGGACATGCAAGTGCTATAGACCAAATTTTCTTGAATTTAATGAGTGCTTTGCATATCATCTCATACCCTTTCCAGGTAAAAAGTTGGGTAAGATCTCCATCAAGCCTGACATTGAGTTTAGGACTATCTTTGTTCTCTGGTTCTGGTCACTTTTTACCATGTGTAATGGAGAATAAACTACTATGTTTTGAGGCAGAAGTAAGTACAATTGTTTATTTTTTAACAGGAAAAAAACAAACATAAAAGCAACCTTTGAAGGACTGCTGGCAGTAGTGTTGTTGGATTACTTGCACTGAATAGGATCTGAGTTTAATGAATGTCCACCTAGATGTAATTATCTATTTGCTCTGTAATGAATGCAGTATTGAAGGATGTCCAAGTGCAGCTGGTTATGATGCAGTATAGAATGTTGTTGTCTAATACACACTTGTAAAGGAGATAAAGACATTCTTTCTGAACTGTTTAGACAAGCTGGTATTGTGTGTTGCTGTCCTTGGTTATACTTTGAGACTTGTGACTATTGCACTGTGGTAACAACCTGCCTTTTCACTCAGCATGTTGCACGTGCAGTGTGTTGGTCACTGGTCCATGCTGCAGAAGTTACAGCAATGTGCAGTAGCACTCATTTCAGCTGCACAGGTTCTGCTCCTATTGAATGTGGTAATAGTGCCCATTACCCTGCAGTGCTCCATTCATTAATTTCCTACCTGACTGGAAGAATGCCTGTTCTTTCCACGTGGCCTTCTTTCTCACTTCCTTTTATTTCTTTTGGGACCCTTTCAGAAACAAACTCAGCATGTTTTTGCTGTTTCTCAGACAAAATGTAAATAAGCATTTCACTCTTCCACCCACTGCTCTCTCTATCCCTCTTTTTTCATCTCCCTTTTCTCATTCCATCCTTGATACAAGTGTTCAACTTGCCAAGAATCAGTAACTGCTATCCAGGAGCCTGGACTTGTGCCCTTTAAGTTGAGGGGAGGGAGTGTAATCTTACCTGAGTCAGCACATGGGCCTGTTGCCGATGGCCTCCTGAGCACTGCTTAGCTGGCTGGATAGAGAGATGGTAGAGGAAAAACCTGCGTCATTGTTGTTGCGATGCAGCTGATTGTTTAGTTGTTGTTGAAAATGTGTTAATTGTATTCTGAGTGTTCAATTAGACCAGTAGTACAGTAACTACAGAGATACCTCTTCCAGTGGCTCAGATATTGTGGCAGCATTCCTGAAGATCTACCACAGATTGGATCTGAAGTGGTGAATTTGTTTTCATTTGCCTTCATCAGCCATGCTGCATAATTCAAAATGCTAGACTGAGAGCTTCATGCAGCCAGGTGTGCAATTCCACTTGGGATGTATTTAATGAGAGAAGAGGGAAGAATACCTTCTGTGAGCTTGTATTGTTTTGTCCCACTCAAAATCTTTCAGGGCCTCAGAAGAAATTACTACAGTACAGAACCTATTTGCAGAAGCTAGCATTTTGTTGAAAATTGCAGAGACCAGAGAAATGTGAATCAAAGTTTCCAGAGAGGTAGAGCACTTGCAGCTTAAAGCAATTTCTTCCTATGAAATCAAGTCTAGCTGTTTCAAGTCAGATAGCCGAGAATCAAAGTGTTCCACTGTTCATTGTGAAAAGCTGGGATTTAACCAATGGAGACCTTTGAAAAATGCCAGCAAGCACGTTTGCAGATTTAAGTGCCTGATTGTGTCCTTGAATATTTGAACCTAGGATTTATTTGCATATACCTCCCACAAGCACTTTCTCCTTCATATAATCCATTCTCATGCTGCTTTTTCTGGGCCCTGTTATTTGTGTATTCAGTTAAAATGCTTCCATTTAGTCCTTTCAGCAGTGGAATTGGTGGAAAGTTGACTAACCTTTCTTACCTTGCTCCTTTCATCAGTCTCTACAAGTAGAATATATCTCTGTATTCTGCCTGCTAACTTTATGATTTTTTCAATGAAGCCTTATTTATCATATCTAATACACAGTAGATAACTCATTTGCATGGTGAAACAGCTTTTGGAACCAGAAGCACTATTTTTGGCCTTGCTGTCTTCCTAATGTTTTGGACTTCTGTGAAAATGGACCATCTGCATCTCTAATGCTCCTTTTTTGTCATGACTGCTGTGAAAGTCCCCAGAGCTGAATTTGGTCCAGTGAAAGAAACTATAAACAGAAATCTGTAGAAACTGCATTTATAGTTCTAGCACAAATAAAATTTTAGGGAAAAAAAAAAGAAAAAAAGAGTTGGATGTAAACAATTCTAGTTTTATATACAGGAGTTCTTGATTTTCATGTTTTAATTTGATACAGTGTTTAGAACTGAAATAAGTTCTGGTGAAATAAAACAGTGCTGACTACAGCTGTGTTTTGATATGCATGAGAGCATCCCCCTGAATTATAAAGTGAGTATTGCTGTGTCATGCAGAACTACCATTGGCAGAACAAATTACACGAAGCTGAAACTGAAAGGTTTTAGCTGACAAAATAGTATGACAGGGCTTTTGCAAACTGGAAAACAGTTTGTTTTTCTAATACTCACTCCATAAAACAGAAGACAGTGTAAAAACACAGCTGTATAGCAAGGTTATAAAACATCCACTTCTTAATAAATTATGAAGCAAACGTGCAGTTTAGTATAAGGCAGCAAAAATAAAAAGGTAGAAAGCTTATTATGAAATGCCCTACAGTAGTAAGGCCAGTGTATTAGAAATCAATGGTTGATTTTCAACCAATACTGTTCATATACATGAATAATTGCTATTTACTGTGGCTATTTCCTGTCTGTACATACTTCTTACTGCTTGAGCTGATTTTTACATTGTTGGAAAGGATTGTGGCAAATGTGATTCCTTATTAAAAAGTTATGCCTAGTATCCCTACCTTTTCAGTTGAGACCTATGCTGTTCTGAAGCCCTCACAGTACCTCCGTTACATCGCCGGCATTCAAAGTTGGTGCAGCCCAAGAGCTGTGCAGACTTTTGCTTGATTAAATGTGCCATCTAGTGGCTGGCGGGCGACAGTTAATTAAAAAAAAAAAAAAAGAAAAGAAGAAAAAAAAAAAAAAAAAACAAAAACATGAAGTGAATTGATTTTTTTAATGCAGTTTTACACAGCAGGGAAAATGAGTGGAGATTGACAAATCCTCATCTTACCATCTTTTTTACCCCTAAGTAACATGCATTCAGAGATCATTATTTGTTTCCAAAAATGCTATTGTTTCTAATCTCTGTTGTCCACTCTCTGCTCTCAGGCTGTTTGACAAGGTCCAGGTTGCAATAGTCAGCTGTGGCAGAGTAGTTGGGCAGTCATTAGTGCTGTATTCACAAAGCTTCAGAAGTCATATTGTAATATCACTGTTGCTGCCTGCATCTGAAATGTTGATTCTCAAAAACTTAGTTCAAATGCCTAAAACTGCCCACATTTTCTTGACATCCACCCCTTGCTGCTCTTAAGTACCCTGCTGTCCACATGTCCTTCATGTAACTGCTAAACCTCACTCTTGCTTGGACTGAAGTGGTGTGCAGATTGGGTTGTGTGCAAAAAGTGGACACCAGAGCTGCCCACTACCTTAGTGGTTAGCACAGGTACCCAGAATGTTCAAGATCCACAGTTAAGCCCCTTGACTGATTATTTTTACTTTGGATTCCGGTTGGTGCTGAGGTTTCCACTAAATAAGAGTTTATGTTGGGACGCTCAGCCAAAGCCTCCTCTCATTCTTAGATAAGCCTGAAAGACGCTGAATCCTGCCAGACAAGTGCCATTGTTTTACATGCTGTTGAAATCTCACATAAACTGAATAGTCTCAGACTGTTTTCAGTTTTGCAGAGCCCATTACTGGCACTGCTGATACCAAGGGAGCAAAGGCATCCATAGCTTTGTACACTGAAACAAGCCTATTGGCTTTGAGATTGGGGTGGGGGAGAGGGCTTCAGATGGGACTACCTAGGGAGCATTGCCCAGCTCATGGTACAGGTTGTCTAGAGAGGTTGCAGCTCACTGTCACAGTCTGGTAACATGGTATGGAGAGCATGGTACTGCATGTGGGCTGCACTTGAATATAACAGTCCTCATATGTGCTAGTACAGGGGCACCAAACCCCTACTGGAGACAGGTGAGATGGAAATGCTTGATTTAAAAAAAAAAAATGCATAATCTTTGTTATTGATCAGAGAAGGAGTTATATGAGACAACCAAAACCTGACAGCTTTGTAAAATGACAGAAGAAATGCACACTGAGAATCTTTGTTTTCCATACGTGGTGTTTGCAAGATGAGGTCAAATACTAAAATTTTGATGTTTTTCTCTGGAGATGCCTATGTGATTCAGTCCAAGTCACTAGTAATCTGAGAACCTATTATCCATGTGGATTCCATCTAATCAAGTACCTGTCATCTTGATTTAAAAAGGGCTTATTTTATATTGCTGGCTTCAGGAAAGTCATATAATTTTTCTGTCCCTTTCTCTTCTAGGATATTAAACACAACATTGTTTGAACTGTATGAATCTCTGGGCAATTTTCCTGCCATGTGGGTCTTCAACATACTGCTTGTGATTCTTCAAATTCTGCACTGTTTGTGGTCTTACCTAATCATAAAGACAGCCTACAAAGCTATTGCAAAGGGCAAGGTAAGACAGCACTGTTCTGTTTCATGTTTAGGATTTTAACTTTTTCAATACCGATACAAGGTCACTGACTTCTTGGTTACTTTTTCTTTCTAATCCATAATACGTTATTGAAGACACACGTTGTTTTATGTGAACCCTTCTTTCCTTTCATGGAAACTGTTTTCCACTCCTTCTAACAAATGTCCAGTAAGTTAATATACTCTTTACAGTGATAATAATTGTATGTCCTTCCACGTTTCTTTTTTAGAATCTGATGTGCTGCATTAGGGAAATTGGATTTAAAAAAACCAAGAAGCAAACTGCTTTCTTGGGACTGCCAGTTCTGTTTTTCTTCTTTATAGTAGTTGTTAGCAAAGTGCTCATTTCCCAGCTGGTAGTGATAGTAATAATACAAATTGAAATTCTGTTGTCTTTGCTAGTGGCAAAGTTACACATCAGAGCCTCTTTTGGGTTTTGGTATTAATGAGGTTCTGCAAAGGTCTTTTATTTTGTTTCTAGGATTCGTACAGCAAGACTATTTGGGATAAAATTTAGTGTCTAGCTGACACTGTTATATTTGACAGGGAGAGATAATTCACAGAAATGCTAGCCCCATTACACTTGCTTATGCAGATATGGTGCTCACATTTGGGTGATGGAAGTCACACTTACAGATCATGTAGAATACAGTGCATTTTGCTCTTAAAGAACAGAGTGCTTGAGTAGATGTTTTACGCTTGTGACTACCCCTCATGTGAATAGGATTGTTCTGCAGAAAACTGGTTTCTATTAATGTACAGGAGAGCTCAACCTTGTACAGGATGGAGCCCAGAATCTGCTGCTTGCTCTGTATGACATTTGGTGAACTATATTTTGCCTGGAAGCCACACTTCAGTCTCCTCTGCTTGTAGTGATTATTAGCCTCAGCTGTCCTGTCTGAATTACACCAGTGACTTCAAAGAGTGCTTCCTATTCTCTCTTACTCTGCTTGTTTATCCTTTCCCTTGTGCTGTACTGGAAGGCTGGGAAGTGGAACCCCTTGCATGTAAGTTTCTTTAAATTTACTATGCAAAAGATTTATTCTGCACAATATTGGTGTTTATGTTTGGGGTTTTTTTAAATTTGTAATTTCTGCTTGATCTTTTTATCCATTGTTAGTGTATATGTATTTAAATGAAGGCTTTATTTAAAGGCCTTTTTTACTTTTTGTGCATTCAAACCCACATCTTTTTCTAGTATCTGGGTGCTATTATGTTACAAACTTTTTCGCACATACATAGCAGCAGGATAAGCAGCTGCTTTGTCACCATTGGGAAGCATACTTGAGAGTCTGAGTCCTCTGCCTTGTAGTTCAAACAATTGCAGAGAAGAAAAGATTGTGCAAGAGCAGAGTTAGATACTCGCAGTAAGACAGTGACCAGGTTAGAGATGCATAGACATAAAAGGATTCTTTCTTCTTTCAACTCTTAACTTCCTCGCTTGCAACCCCTTTCCATTTCTGCACTAAAATAAGCAATGTTTTCACAACACATACAGATGCCTTAAAATAGATCTTCATCCTTAATAATTGTTTGATTGTTTTTCTAGTATCTAACTTTGGAATTAATAGCTCAGCTGATAAGGCAATTTGTTATCAATATAATTATAACTAATCCTAATAGTCTATTTCTTAATCTCTGTTATGCTTAGGAGTTTTATAAACCTAGATAGATGACTCCTTATGTAGAAATTACTCCAGTGAGTTAAGAGAGAGCAAAGAGAAATAAGTACAGTAAGATGTGTTGCAATCATACCGGGTTTTAAGTGCAAAGATCCTGGTATGTTGCTGCATTTTAAAAATAAAGGGAGTGGATCACATGTCTAACAGAAGTGGCTGCATACAATATTCTTTTGATTGTTTGGCTTTGGAGCAGGACCCTAACAGAATAATTGGCAGCAAATCTAATATATTAAGAGAATTTAAGATGAAGCCGAAATTTTTAATCATCTGGTCTGCCCTCACGTCAGTCACAAGCACTCAGTACCCTGTGCTGGCCCCATTCACTTCCGTCTGATAAAAGTGTAGTTCTAAGTGTATTTCTGTATCCCCAGAAGCTTAAACGTAAAATTGCCTTTATACAAAAGAGACTGAAGTAATCTGGTAATTGAAGCTGTGTAAGTATGGAATCTTATTTCTAACCTCGGCTGAAGTCAAATTTCACAGGTGTCAGAATTACAGGCTTGCCAGACATAGACATTACAAACTTTTCGTATTAGAAGGTGTATGGGAACTGTGTTTCTTTTTTTCTCTGTTCCCAAGCAGAATAATTTCTCCTTTGTAGAGCTCTTTGAAGGCCAGACATGACCACTATGTTTGAGAGCAGTGCACTTCAGAATCCCTGAGGTGACTTTGCTTCACCCCATTCAGTCAGGTGCACCCAAAACAAGTAAAAACATGAGGAAGCCAACAACGGGCAGACTCAAGGGAGCAAACAAGGGTGACAAAACTGGCAAGAAGGAAGTCAGCTGGAAATGAGAAGGAAATTCTGAGCCGTTGAGGTCATTTTGTTTCTGAAACAGCTTTTCAGTGGTATGATGGTGTAGGCAGTTGAACTGCTCAAGTGGTTTTGTGGTTCCTATGATAAGGACTCCATTCAGTGTTTCAAGCCCTGTTCTCACCACTTGCCTGAGATCAGAGACTGGAATTACCTGCTGTGGTGAGTTATGCTTCAGCTAGTACTTTTGTCCACTACTGCCAGTCCATAGCAATGTTCCCTGGAGTCTTGTGGCCTCTAGAGAATGACTTGGGAGGTGAAGGGCAGGAAGATAGGGTGAATATTTTGTGTTATCACATCAAAGAGAAGCATCCCAAAGGAATCACAATAAATAAATTTGCAGGAGGAGGGCAGAGGAATGGGGGCTAAGTTGAACTTGGGAGCTTGGATTGTTGGTTCCTTTAGTCCGTGCACAGCCCTTTACCTTTAGCACTGTACCCTCACTTGGACATACTGCCTTCAGTGCACCAGTGCAGAGTTACCATCCTGCCTTTGCACATGGCATATGTGGGGACAGGCATCTGTCCTTTGAAGTGAGTCCAGACAGGCAAAGGCAGAGAGGTGTGCCAGAATTGAGATTGCCTTCAAAGCTCAAACTGAAAAATGTTTGAATTCTCTGAACCTGGCTTGAACCAAAAAGCTCAGTTTTTTTCCTACAATCACCTACTGCTTGCTTCTTTTTCAAATTCTACAGGTAGCAAAGGATGACCGCAGTGACATTGAGTCAAGCTCAGATGAGGAAGAAACAGCACCACGTTCAAAGGCCCCACACAGCACCATCAGCACTAATGGGACCGGCGGTGCCAATGGGACAAACGGGTATCTTACTGGTGGCACTTGCTCAGAGGAGCATTAATCCCTGAGTTCAATCATTAGACACGAACAGAATGAACTGTTTGCTACTGGAAGTAAATTATAAGTTGTGAATGCGGTTTCTTCATATATCTCAGCATCAGAAAAAATTAGGAGTATCGAAGCATTCTGATAGTGTACTGCCATGTTTCCTATTTGTGAATGAAGACAACACACCATTCTGTATTCATAGGCATGCTGTTTGTGTATGTAACTGACACAATGGGAGCAGTATTTTCACTTGTACTGTCTTTGAAATATTATTTATTTTGTATTCTTTTGGGAACTTCTGGACAAAAGGGAATATCCATTCTCTAACTTCTCTAACTCTTGGGATTCTCAGTAGTGGAGAGCATCATGCTCAAATCTCTTCTGTCTATCCCTGTTGCTTCTGCTGAGTCTGCTCTAAGTAATAGTTGTTTAAGTTGTTACTTAAAGTAAGATAGAACATAGCTTTATAGATTCTAGATCTGCTTCAGATATTTTTGCTATCTTTGTGTTTTAAAGTGCTGGTTTTGAAATTGCCTATCAAATCACAGTGGCCGTTCCTCCAACATAAAGTTTTAAAACCCTGGATTGATATTTTAAATGGTAGGTAATGTGATCAGTTAGCAATCTGGGGAAAAAAAACCTGCAGTAATTGTGGGACATTATTTTAGCATAATTTTAAATTCAGTTCAGTGGTTAATTGCATTAGAAGTAGACGTGATTGTTTGTGCAAATACCCAAAAACATTTATGTCAACAGTTAGGCAAAACTAATTCTCAATTTCTTTTGTTTTTGCCTTGCAATTTTTTACTTCTACAGATATTATTTAGCTTTTTGCAGAGATTCCATGTTGAAAGATGTTTGTTCAAGTGCACCATAGTGAATCCAGACCTCACTCCTGAAACTGTACTTGCAAATTCAGATGGATGAGAGCAGGAGTGTAATGGAAAAAACAGCAGATGAAGAATTCATTGCTTCCCCGGACACAGTTCAGTGTAGGTATTTTTGTTATAATTATTGCAATTTTCTTGGTAGGATTAAGAGAGAGAAGGCAGAATGTCATACTTTACTAGAAGTAGTTTATTTTAAATGTGTGAAAACTTGAACACAGCAATTGTAATTCACAGCAAGGTTGGAACACTCAGCAGTATTTTATCACCTCTAGAAATAAAATTAAGGGTGTCTGTAAAATATTTTTGCTCTCCTTTTTCATCCAGGATTTACAAACTGTGTCCCAAAGAAGACAAAGTAATACCCAAGATAAACATATTTTTAAATGTTATAAATACACTTCTTCAAGTCTCTAGATCAAAGTTTCATGTAGGATGGTAAGGATCACATGACTCTTGCAGGGCAGTTCTCTGTGATTTGTGACAGCAGTGCCAAAAGCAGGCACAGTTCTTGAGTAACAGACTCTATGCAACCTACTGTTCAACAGTATTGTCTGTGTGCACACAGAACCAATGTGCTTAAGACCAAAGACTTATATATATATTAAAAAAAAAAAAAAAAGGAAAAAATAGTAGGGTTTTTTTTTTTAACAGGGTGGAACAAATTAATGAAAAAATGTAACAATGTCTTCTGTACACGAAGGGATTGGAGTGCCATGTTCAGCTGGAACACTAAGCTAAGGAAATCTTTCTGATTCCTTCCACCTATGCAAGTAGCAAAATATAGATGGTTACCATAAAACATGTTTGAAGGCTGTATTTTATACACACTCCATTGAAGAAAGTTGTGTTGCCACTACTTTCTTTTTAAAAACTGAGATTTGTCCTATTCTATTGGTCACCCTTGAAAATACTTGAAACCTTTATTATCAACAGGGACCCTTGTATGTTAGCAAAAGATGTGCTAAATATAAGGGCAAAATGGCATGAATTAAAATAGTACCTCCACCTAGTAGACAGTAAAGGTAAGGAGACTGAAAAATTGTGAATCATAGAAGAAGAGCTGTCAGTTTTACTACCCACCGAGCATCTTTTGAAAAAGCCAGGTAACCTTATAATTCAGCAGCTGCATAGTTTATATGTCCATGAGTCTATCTGAAGGAGCAAGGGAGTCTTATTTACATCTCCTTCTCCTCCAAGAGTTTCTCTCTAATTTTTCTATTTGACTCCTGTGCCTCTTATTTCATACAGTTGTCTGCAGGACGTGAAAATACACTGCAATAGAAAGTATCCTATCCAAAATATTTGAGGTGGCAGTTGTTTAATGATTACTGTCGAGATGATAACTACATTTTAAAACAAAAACATCCTTTGATATATTGAATGAATATTACAATTTCTGAAATCTGACTGACTAAAAGGTTTATACACACCTCATCCATAGTGTTGATTACTGCCTTCACTGGATCATTTCCCTTATGAAACGTGGCTTATGAAAATGGCTTTGTCACAAAATATTTTGTCTTACATGGGGACAGGGTGTTTCTCTGAACTATCAACATACACAACATAGATAAAACAATAGTACTGTAATATTGTTTATATCAGGACTGATAACAGTTCTCAAAAACAATCCCTGAGCAAGAGGCAGGATTCCTTTGGTTCCTCTTGGTCCTCCCCAGCTGTTCTCTATAGTGATGATTCAGGTGTACAGTCAAGCTACAACCCTTCAGATGATTTACCATCGCTGGCTACACACACTTTTAGTATACCCCCAGTGTTAAATAATGCAATTTGGATTGAAGCACTTTGAAGTTCAGGTGCATCTATGATGCACTAAAGCATGTACACAGATACCATGGTTCAGCTCACTTCCACTAACTTACTAATCTCCTGTAAACCTGGCTTTTTGGAGCACGTTCTTAGCAGTCTAGAATAAACTTTAATATAGATATGTCTGGAAAGCAAGTGAGATGAGAGATTCAAAGGACAAGCACATCTGTAGAAATGGGATAAGCATTCAGAACTTCACTAAACTTTGCTGAACAATCACTAAATTTTCAAGCTACAATTTTTTTATGGAAACGAAAAAATCACAGAATTTTTTTAATCTATAGTGGGATGGGCCAATTGTTCTAGTGATCATAGATGGCAGTGTGTTTTGATTCATTCCTTTAACCAGTGGATGTCAAAACTTTGGCTTCATCCTCCACTCTGCAAAGAGAATGTCATGCAGCTATTTCCTTCTTCATTTGAATTTGTTTGCTTCTCTGTGGGAGAGCTTTGCCATCAAGTATTTAGAGAATAATCATACATATTCCGGAAAATTGATGGAAATTATTTGCATGGTTCATGGTAAATGCAAGATCTTAATATGTATATTCATACCTTTTGTAGAATTGTCATTTTAGAAATGAGAGTTTGTACTCTCTAACCTATTTGTCTTCAACTTCTATGCTCCCTTTTTATAGTACAGTACACAACACGGTGGTTGAGATGTGAAAGTAGAAAAATTAAGAAATTATATGTAGAGTTTATTAGTAAATAGTAAGAATTTGTCTTCTCTCCCTAGCCAGCCCACAATACAGTAAATATGATTCAGGCCTCCCTTTCTTTACTGTTTCCCATATTGGCATATTTTATACCAAAAGAAAAATATATGGTGTTTTCATTGTTTTTGTAGTTTGGGTTTTCTTTCATCAAAAACAAAAGCAAACATAGCAGAAAATGGTAGAAATATCTGATCAAACAACAGGGGCGGGTGTTGGAGTGTCTTGGATCTTGATCGATGTTCAACAGTGCTAGTTATAAAATACCAAAGTGTCCTGTGGTGTTTCCTTGTTGCCATTTTGTAGTTTTTTCTATGTGTTATTAATTTATTTATTCCAGCAGAATTGGAACAGGTGTCACAGTTTCATATACTCCTGTCTCAGCCTGTGACCATTCTGTGTGATTGCCAATGCCAAATCCAAGACCCAAGTGCATGCACTAAAGCTTTGCTTAAAGAGAAGTGATTGTCTTAAATCTGTATCTGTTAGGAGGGAAAATCACTTTCTGGTTCTGAATGGGACATATGGGCTAAAGCTGTTACCCTGCAGCAAATGTCAGTGATGACCAACATGGCTTGATTTAGATACCACGAGTGTTTTATGTAGACTGTTCTAGTAGGAAGCCTAATGCCTGTTTCAGTCGTCTTCTCATTACTGCAGCCTTCCATATTCTCAGAGAAATACACGCTACCATTGGTTTTCTACAGTTGATGCTTTGGTATTTTTTTAATCTCTTTGCTACCACTCATTTTTGTATGTCACCTATTGTCTACTTCTTGTGACATTTATACAAGAGGAGCTATCAAATACTTTTTACCCTTTCTGTAATGTAGACCTTATTAGGCCTAACTTCAGCATTATGAAAACTACAGCTGCCTTTAAACCTTAAAGAAAAACAAGTTTATATTACTTGTTTTGACTGGTTTTGATTTGGAACAGGGACCTAATGGGAACTTCAGTAAGACAACCTTATTCCTTTTCTCTCTTTGTTTATAAAGCACTAGTGGAAGTTTGGAAAAGAGGCATATATGTATAGTCTTGAAATTGTGAAGATCTCTGATTGTAGTTGCAATGAAAACACAGTGTTTGAGTGTGTCTGTACAGAAGTTTCCACCTTTGAAATGGCTTTCAATTAAAAAAGTGGAGGAAACACTAGGAAATTATGTTTTAGAGCCATGTCAATGATCACACTTCAGACAAAAGACCAAAACTATTGTCTTACATGACCTAAAATGATCTCTACAACAAAACAAGTTTTCTGGCTTCTGTTGAGCTCCAGCTTCTTGCCGTCCTGAGGTTTAACTTCTATACATGAGCTCTCATACTGCACTGTGCATGTTGACTACGTGTTGTAAGTCAAGGTGAGGCAGATGACACTATTTCACTTGTGTTTTCATGACAATCCTCTGCTTGAGCAACTCTTTCAGAAATGCACTGAAGTGTAGGAACTCCACTGTCCTTGACACAGTGATGTGCTAGCTACAAGTCCTTTCATGTATAGCTGTTGTGTAGAACTTGGCGAGTTGTCTTTTACTTGGTTGGTTTGGGGTTTTTATAATATGGAAAATAAATATTCC